AGAGCGGGAAAGGAAACGATCGGGAAAAACTTGATGAAAGGGTATAAGACAAGGTCATCGCAACCATTGTCTGGGTTCAGGAGTCGGTTACGCAAGGGGAAGGTATTAGCACCCCTCACGTCCATCGTACTCGATGGGATCCACACTTGCTGGTTTGTCTACGGGTGAAAAACAACCTATCTACGGCTTCTAAGGCTAAACGGAAAGAAATTGACTCGATAGAGCATCGCACTCTATGCCTACGTATTCCCTCGTGCAATGGGAAAATCAGAGTCATCGTAGTTCGGGAAACTATGGGGAATGGGCTCGCCGAGATATCGCATCTCGTGCCTACGTACTTCCACACAGCGTGAAAGATCAGAGCTTACGTAGTTCAGGCTAACTACGGCTAGACAGGGTGTTCTCGATCACACAGGAGTGAGAGAAGGGATTGATGATACTAGCGTACGCATTCTAGCAGTTAGGTGTTTGCTGCTCGCTCGACGGAGACTTAGGCGTTACCTGTTTGCGGTAGAACGGACGTAGTATGTCGGGTTTGAAAGGTATGGGAACCTACGGGTTCTAGAACTACGGTCTGGTCTCGATTGCGCTCAGGCAAGACAAAGGGAACATCAGTCGTCAGCGGGAAAATCTCGATCGCACGGCAGCGAGAGAACAAATAGGTTAGTTGTTAGTGTGCTCGCTAGGATATCGCATCCTATGCCTACATATTCTCGTCTGATATGAGAAATCAGAGCAGCTGTAGTTCAGCTAACTACAACAAAACAGGGGAAAGGGAAAATTTTAGCTCGCTAGGACCATCGCGATCTTATGCCTACGTACTCTCGTCTGGCACGAGAGATCAGAACAAACGTAGTTCGACGGGAAAACAAATCTCAATTGCATAGGAGCAAGAGAAGGGGTCTCAATCGCCTAAACGCGAGAGAAAAGGGGTTTCGATCGCCAGGGGCGAGAACAACGAGAAAACAGAATTACGCCTAAACGGGAAGAAACTCGGGACGCAAACGCACAAACCTGATACGAAGGAGAGAATGCGTTGTATGTCACCCAAAGGGTACCATACTAGACATCCTAGACAATTGAGAAGAAGCTCCTCAACTGTCATTTCCTACATATCTAACGAAACAACTTACAACACTCGACGGTTGCCTGAAGACTTGAATAAGATGATGTTGAACGAAGCGGCTCCTGTTGGCTCCTGACATGCGTGGAAGCTCCATTCCAATCTTCTCTTCTCTGGATCCTTGATGACGATGCTCGAATCAAGACCAATGTGACGCTTAGACCGTCATGGTTCGACTTATACGAGAAATCGAACTCTCAGAGGTAACGTATTGATGTCCGTGTCAAAGACAAGATAGAGAAATGATATCAACAATCATTCTCTAATTGAATCGTGTCACACGACCAGCCAAACAATGAAATCGAAAATAAAATCGGATAGAAAAGAAAATAGGAGAGAAAATAGGAGAAAAATCCACTAACAAATGGAAATAAAAGTCTACTCCTAAAATTAACAATTAAATTCTACTAGAAAAATATTCTAAAGAAAATAAAAGAAAATGCATATGAAAATAGCATAGAAAATTTCTATCTAAAATACTATAATATTCTATAAAGAAAATAGAAAAAATCTATATTAAATCTATATTAAAAAAATATGCATGATATTCTAAATCCCTAAAAAAAATAATCTCTTAAAAGAAAAATAGGAAAATAAATCTAAACTATTACAAGCATTCATCCAATACAAAAAAGAAAAAAATAAATTGCAAAGGGGAGGGGGGTACAAACTGCAGACTGGGTGTACATGCAGAAAAAACCACTCTGGGCTTTAAGCCCACAATACAAAATAAATTTAGCAAATAAAATGAAAAAACAAAGAAAATAAAGGGAAAGGGGGGGGGGGGTTGCACAGGAAATGGGGTGTAGTTCAGAAAATGAATTGGGCTCAGGCCCACAATCACCACCAAAAAATAATACAGGGGGGCGAAAAAAAACGGGGGAGGTATGGATCCAAAAATAACTCGTTGGGCCTGAGGCCCAATCCCCCAATCCACTTCCCCTTCCTCTCTTCCCCCACTTCTCCAACTTCTAAAACCCTAATGTCCTCCTACCTTCTTCACCCGCCGCCGCCTGTAACCTCTCCGTTCTCAGATCAGCTTCCCAATCCCCACCGTCTCAACCTTCAATCTCTCCTAACCTTTCCTTTTCGTCTTCCCTCCATCTTTACACCTATCTCCGTTTCATTCTCCTCATCTTCGTCTGGGATTCGCGAACGCAATAAATCAACGGAGGTCAGATCTTTGGAGTTGGACTCGTTGTTGTTGTGAAGAACTATGGATCTTTGAAGAAGATCTTGAAGTTGCATGTGGATGATGAAGGTCTAGGACGTTTTGATTTAGAGAGGTTCACGAAGATCTCCATGCTCGATGAAGATCTGATGAAAATCGTTCGAGGAAGATGAACGTTCTGGAGACGCTTTGATTAACGAGGTTGAAGGTTCTATGAAGATCTTCGAGTTTCTGGAGATTTGGAAGAACAATAAAGAAGTTGTTCATGATTTGAGGTTGATGAATATCCAGATGGCGATTGATGAACCAGATGAAGAATCTTGGATGAAGACATTGATGAATGTTGAAAATATTGATGAAGATCTTGAACATGGAGACTTCTTATGAACGTTTCTGGAAAAATATCATGAAGATCTTGACGGATCTTGAAGATCTGGAAACTTTCCGATGGAATGTTGGTGGATCTATGAAGGCGATGATGAATCTCTGGAAAACTCATGATGAATTTATGAAGATTCTTGGAAAATCTGATGAAGTGGATGGAGTTTCCGGCGTGAGATGCAGTTTCCAGTGACCGCTGCAGCGGCGTTTGATTTTCACGGCGACCTCCTCCGGCGGTTTGCATGCCGGCCGGTGAGGGGAAGATGGTGAAGATACGCGTGGCGCGCATGCAAGCAATGGAGGGTGGAAGACGGACAAGTGGCGTGGTGAGAGAGTGAGAGAGAGAGAGAGAGAGAGAGACAAGTGGCAAATGGCTGGTGAGGTGGAGTGTGATGTGTCAGTCCCTGAATGAAGAGAGAGAAGACGTGAGACCTTTATATGCAGACAGGTGTCACGAACTAGGCCTAGGAAAATTGGACATCTGGCCCACTATCACTAAAGACTAATTAACTAAACTAAGACTTAATTAATTAAAACGAATTAATGACTAATGGTTGCACCTAATTAAAACGAAATTTAATACTACTGCAGATTAATAGTGAAAATTAATGACTAAAAACTCTATTAAATTCAGACTTAAACTCTAATGATTATCTAATTAAAACCCAATTAAAATGCAAAACGAAATTAATTCTAAGTAATTAAAAAACATTAATCAATCTCCTAATTAATCCTAATATTAATCCATGAATTAATTCTAAAACTATTAAACTCTAATTAAAAGCTGACTCAAATTAACTCCTAATTAACTTCTAATTAACCATATTAACAAAAATGATTAAACTCTAATTAAAAAGAAATGATTAATATCTAATTAATCTCTATTAATTCTACAAAGAAAATAAACTCTAATTAACCCTATTTAAAAAAATAGAAAAAGAGTTATCCTATTAAAAAATTAATTAAAATCTACTATTTAATATCTAAAAACAAAAATTTATTTAAACTATTTAAAAAAGAAATATCTATTTAAAATTCTAAAAAAACTATTAAATCCATAAGAAAATATTAAAAATTCCTATTTAATATCTAGAAAAACTCAAATAAATCTATTAAAATCTAGAAAAATCTATTTAAAAATCTAGAAAATAAAAGGGAAAATTCTAAAAATGCAAGGAAGCCAATTAAATCGATTAGAAAACAAATGCACAACTATAGCGAAATAAGCGGTAAAAACCGGACACCGAAATGTCCTCAAAAATAACAGTGAGAGCTGAAAACACCGAGACGGGCACAAATTCTCAAAACAACTTATTCGAACTGGCCAGAAATGCCTGAAGCGTCAGGAGAGGCTGTAATCCCGATAGAATCAATCTGGCTGCAAAAATGCAATGGATGCGGTATGGTAATGCAGAGTGCAAAATGAGTCGAAACATAAGCCAAATACAATAATTGGTTGGTCAAATTTTGGGGTGCAACAAAAGTGATGGTGGATCTTCAGGAGTACGATTAATAAAAATTTTGAATCTCTATATTTTGTAGTCCATTTTACACATTGTGGACTAACCGGTGTTGAAAATTGGAGCCACTGTTTTTCTAGAAAATAGTCAGTTGAGAAAGACTGTTTTAAGTGTAACATTTGCTCTGGTTTTTTAAGACAACATTGGCACATAACTTGCATCCCACGATTTCTTGAGCCAAATTTGGACACTTGCATCATTGTATTTCTGCCCAGTATCAACATAAATGATGAGGAATCCGAACCATAACACAAGGGGTCAAGTATCTAGCCTAGCATGCGCAAATCCATCATCATATAAACCTCGAATTTTATCTTTGGCATCAAGCATTAATGTGATGAATTAAGGTGGCATGGATCAAGCACAAACCAGCCAAGACTCAGTCCAAAGTCATGAGTGTTCAAACCTGCAAAATTGAATTGGAGTCAATGCCTAGCTATGCTAGGAGGAAACTTTGGCTACATGACAAAACACATTGGGTAATAGCATGCTCCCTCATCCATTCACTATTTCTCCCAAAACAAATTTGATCTCTTATAAATAGGTGTCATTTCTTATCATTTGAGACACACCAAAACAATACCAAAGGCTTGTTTTCTCACTCTCCCTCTCTTACTTCAAGTTTCAAAGTTCAAAGGAGCAAATTAGGAATTCTTAAAACCAGAGCCACTGTTTTTCTCACTCTCCCTCATACTTTTAGGTAGTAGTTATTAAACCACTTCACCCACAAGGTATCCTTCTTCCTACACAGATTCCATAAGCATTTCATCAACATCACATTATTCCACTAATTCAGATTGAGAATCTACAATCCTCCTTGCTTAGCAGTACTACAGACTTTATTCCAAGCCACTGGACTTTTTCTACTCATCTCAGAATTACCAATCCAAATAAAACTTCTAAAAATGGCATCAATTTTCTTACTAACAAGCTTGAGGATGGGAAAACAATGCACCCAATATTGGGCAATAACATAAGAGATGCTTCTAACCAACTGAATTTTGCCTGCATAGCTAAGCACCCTAGTGGTCCAGTGTTGCATCCTACCAGTAATTTTCTCAACCAGAGGCATATAAGCATGGGTGGTGATCTTTTTGTTGGTCAATGGGACTCCAAGGTATCTAACAGGAAGGCCACCTTCTTGGAAATTTGTTAAGCTTCTGAGTCTCTCCCTGTCTCTGCTATCTAAGCCACCAATGAGCATCTTACTTTTACTAGGGTTTGCCACCAGGCCAGTGGACTTCGTGAACCTGCTAAAGGCTCCCATCATCATCTTCACAGAAACCTCATCACCGCTGCAGAAAAGCAGAACATCATCAGCAAACATTAGGTTAGTCAGGCCTAGCTTCTCACACTTTAAATGGTGATTGAAATTGGGGTCTCTTTGCCACTTCATCATTAACCTGTGGAGATATTCCATAACTAGGAGAAAAAGAAAAGGTGATATAGGATCACCTTTCTTAATGCCTCTCTTGGCACTCAAAATCTCAGACATAGTACCATTCATGTTGAACTTATAAGTGACAATGATGATTCCAATCATGATCTAGTGTATAAACTGCCTAGGCATCCCAAGTTCTTTTAGAAAACATTCTAGAGGACTCCAATTGACCATGTCATAGGCTTTTTGGAGATCAATTTGCATCATGACTCTTGGTGTTCCTCCCTTTCTGGTATAGCCTTTTCAGCAGCTCGTAGGAAAGCATAATGTGATTGTGGATGTTCTGCCTAGGCACAAAAGTTGTGTGACAGGGACTGACAATGCTCTGCAGAACTTCCCCCAGCCTCTGAGTCAAGATTTTGGAAATGATCTTGTAAAAGGTTGTGCAACCAGCTATTGTCATGTAATCCTTAATATACCTAACTTGCTCCCCTTTAGGAGTGAGAGTGACAACAGTACTGTTAAAATCTTTGTAAATTCTACCAGACACAAAGTATTCCTTGATATCAGCTATCATATCATCCTTGATTATGTGCCAGTAAGACTTGAAGAATCTAGCACCATAACTATCAATTCCAGGGGCCTTCAAATCACCAATCCCTTTAAGGGCTTTGATAATTTCCTGCTCAGTAATACCTCTAGTCAAGTGCTCTCTCTACTCCGTAGTCAGCTGGCCACCCGTTCTCATGGTTTCAATATCTATATGTTGCTCACAGTTGCCTTGCTTTCCCATTAATTGCCCATAATACTCCAAAATTTCTTGCTCAATATCTTCTTAAGAGTGGAGGAAGGTACCATCAGCTTTTTGGATACCTTTCATACTATTTGTATTATGCTTGGCTTTGATGGAGGCTAAGAAATACGAATTATTCCCATCCCTCATCCTAAGCCAGTCAACCTTAGCTATTTGCATCAACACTTTTTCCTCAAGCTCACTGAGTTTAATAACTTCTTCAGTACACTACTTAACCCTCTCAGTAAGCATGACATCCATTATACTCTCCATAAGGTCCATTTGAGCCTTGTTAAGATCTTATTTAGCCTTGATAAGATTTTGCTTGATATTAGATTCAGGTTTGCTTAACTTTCTTAAAATAGGTTGCAGTCTTTTGAGTTTTTTCTCCATAAAACTGCCATAGGATTACCCCCAATAGGCTACTCCCAATTCTTCTTGACAACCTCCTTAAACCCTAGCATATCCACTAAATAGTTACTAAATATGAATTGCTTTTTGTTGATCCTAGCACTACTATTGTTGGACACATGCAGGAGGCCATGGTCAAAAAATTTAGGAGTTAACATATTCAGGGATGTATCCAAATTCTCTTGATACCACTCAATATCTCCCAGCGGTCTGTCAATTCTAGATTATATGGTTCCTACCACTTTTTTATTAAACCAAGTAAAATAATCTCCAACATTATCCATCTCACACAGGAGAATACTTTGCATCATGCACTACAGGTCAACATACTCAGACTCAATGATAATCCTTCCCTTGATACGATCTTGAGCCTTGGCCACATTATTGAAATCTCCAAGGATACACCATGGGTGTAATACCCCAAATTTTACCCTTACATTTAGTCAGTCATTTCGCATAGCATCTCATTTGTGCATTCACTAACCGCTAATCAGTCATGGAGTGTTGATTTGTTTTACAGGAATCCAGTTCAAGGGCGTTTTGGTCTTTTCACACTATTTTAGCAAAATTAGAGCTTTAAAGCCTCAGGACATTCAGGCCATGGTACGAGAGGCGATTGTTCGTCATATAAAATTGTTTATCTTGAGAATATCAGATTGGGTTGATGTTTATCATTGAGAAGCGCCAGAAACGCATCCAAGTTGGAGTGCAAGTGAATTTAGTCAGGTGATGAGATTAGGACTACAAACGAGAATATCATTCATGAATATTTATGGTTTATGACTAGAATAATGAATTTAAATATTTGTGGATTTATTCGCAAATGTTTATAATTTATAACTAGAAATAAATATAAATAAATTCAAAGCTGAACGGTCATGGATATATAAATGAAGTTCTGGAATTTTTATTTCATAAGAATATCATTTTACAAAAGGAAGTGAATCATTTCACATTTGAATTGCTGTAAGATTACATTTACAGATATTACTTCTATCCTAAAAATCCTAAGTCCTAAAAACTCCTTGGTTTAGTCTTCATGTTATTCCCTTTGAGTTCTTCTACATCTCAATTACCTGAAAAACAAAGACAAAACAAACAGAATAGGAAAGATTATAATTTATGTTCGACACTCTCAGAACATCATCATCATTGAGTGCCGGGAGTGGCACGACCGAAGCCGCATCCTACCCCCGTTACCGATCTGTGCCATTGGCGTCAGATCAGGTGGTTATCGTTCTTATCGTACGGGACAACCGAGAAAGATGAAGAAGTAAAAGAAGTTCGGGCCGATAAATGATTAACTGAAAAGGGTCTATGCCATCATCGAGTAAATCCCATTTGGTTTCCAAGACTGATACAAAGGGTAAAGCAGCACAATCAATTTGGTCATAAACCCGGATGCCGACGGGTATGAGCCACTTTGTGTTCAAAGTTTGTCAACACCTGAAATGCAAGCATCAAAACAGTATCAGAGTTTTCAAAGAAAACCATCACTGACCAAGAATCAAATTTCACACCTGCATCAGCTCTAGATCAAACAAGAAATTCATAACAGTGAAACTAGTTCAACAAGAAAGAACCAAGTCAAACAAATCTGCCACAAAAGGCACAACATATAAATCACAAGCTGCATAGAATTGGAAGAAGCAATTTAATTCGCAAATATTAGAACCAAATCAGTATCAAAAGTTCAGGTCCAAAGCAAACCAGCAATTCTGCAGACGTGGTTGCCACAAAACACCAAAGCCAGGGCTCAGCTATCATACATCATGGCCCCTCGCAAATTCAGGAAAGGAAGAGATCAGGGTACGAGAAGCAATGGGTTATACCTCAAAGGACAAAAGGATCACGTATTACACCAGAATAAGCAAATCAACTCAGGTCGAAATCCTCAAATATCCAAAGCACATCGAAAACAAAGCCACATGAAGGGCTCAGTCGAAACATCATGGCCCAACACGCAGGTTCTGGTTCAGTCAAGTGAGCATTACCCTCGCGCCGAAAATGAGTATCAATGGAAAGCATATCTGGGCAACACGTGCCGTAATCCCGCTCAACTACACAAGAAAGTCGAATGTTAAAAAGTTGATAGTATCAGTAAACAGGTGGTTCGAAAACCAGAAGGGTCGAAATAACATCCACGGCAGCGAAACAATGCCCTTATTACCACAACAACCCTTACCAGAAGAATCAAGTTCGAATAGATCAGAAAAGAATCAGACTATCACAAGGCAACTCGAATGGGAACATAACAGATAGTCAATTAATTGAAGCCTACCAAATCCGAACCAGGTATCCAATGTGAAACTGAAGCAAAACAGATATCCAATTGATCAAAGTAAATCCATTTCCTAAAAAACAAGTCGAAGCAGATCCAGTTGTGTCAAACAATCGAAGACAAGGCAAGCAGCAATAGGAATGGTAGCATCATGTTCCAATGGCTCAGACGGAGCGTCATCATCGCCGTATACCCCTTCTCGACATTTGGTTCGACCAAAGCCTTTGCACCAGTTCTGAAAGAAGAAGAAGAAAAGTTAATGCGTGTTCGAAACAGTTAACCAAAGTAAACCAAATATCCAAAAGAAAATCAAGGAAACAGATATCCAATGTATCCCAAATGTGATCATGATCTGGAAGTTAAAATCCAATCAAGTGAACCCAAAAAAAGGAAAGTCAACTTGTGACAGCAAGCAAATCACAAAAGCCCGCGTTTGAGAATCCATCAGGGATCAAATTTACATCTGCAAATATCAAAAGAAAATCCAATCAAATCAGCAATAATACAAATCGCATCCAAAAAAGGAATGATCCCGAGTCAAATCTAGAATATTATTCAGTATCAGAAAAAACGTAAATCCAATATCCAATTAGACCCAGAAAATCGAAGATCAGAAGATATAAAAGGAACGACACCACCTTTCTGAAACCCTAGAGAGAACGGGCTAACCATCAAAGCGGAGAAAAGACAAATGACGAATCCCTAACGAGACTCGTCCACAGCTGAAAACAGAACCGGTTGAACTCAGAGGAACGAACGCGTTCTATCGTCATCGCCCTCATAATCACCCCTTAAAATCACGAGCAATCCAACACAGAGCCTCAGTTCACACATCATCGGCCCATGCGAAACGAACATCATCCAACCATCAACGGAGACGTTTCCGAAAACCGCTTCAAACCCTAGTGAAGGGTGAGCAATTTCCTTATCACTTACGTCTTTATTGTGTGCTTTTTTTTTCAGGAAAACATAGAACAAAAGATACGAGGAACATGGCGGAGACGAGAAAGATGAGATCGCGAGAGAAAGATGAGATCGCGAGAGAAAGATGAGATCGCGAGAGAAAGAGAGAGCATGCGGCGCCGTGGAGGCCAAAGAAAGATTAGGGTTACCCTAATCTGAATCCTCCCCCCTTTTTTCCTTTGTGTTCCAGGACCGGGTTGGGTCCGGGAGTGATGACCGGCCCAACCCATTTGCTTTAAGTGTTTTTTTTTTATTTTTTGTTTCTTTTTTAAACAATAAACCTTTTTTAAAAATCTAATTGTTGTTTTAAATAAGTAACATTTAAATCTTTTTTTTTAAATAATAAAAACCCTTTTTTATAATAATAAATAAAAACCCTTTTTTTAAATAAATATATTAAAATCCAATTTTTTAAAAAAATAATAATTAGGTTAAAATAGTTTTTAGGATTTGAGTAAATTAATATTAAAAAATCCTATTTTAATTTAAAGTTTATATCATAAAATAAAACCACAAAAAGATGCATAATTTCACTTCTTCACCATCTGATAATCCATTTAATTCTGCCCCCTGACGTTGTTTGTTCGTTTTGCAGTTTATTGCGTTTACTGTTATTTATTTCATTATCGTTCTATTTAAATTTCATTATCATATTGTATCTGCTTCTCATCTGTAACTCCGCGAATCCTAACAATCGCGCTTTAGTTTCTGTCT